CTTGCCAAGAAAACTGTGAGGACTTTTCTAAGCAGTCACCAGGACTCAAAGGCACACACACAACAATAACAAAAGATAAAGGACCCACTTAATATATAATCAGAAATGTAGAACTGTGGTATACATGGTGAATACCATATCTGAATGTTGGCTCTGCTTTGCTTTTGTTCTTATTCTTTTAATGAATAGGTATTCATAAAGTGTTATTGTTTTTCTTATTGTATTTTAACCTGTTATTGTAAAGAGCTTTCAAATGCATTTGTATGGTAGTGGTGTAGAAATATGTTGAGTAAATCATTCAATGGTGCTTGTGTTTCCTGACCATATTACTGGCCCATATTATTGGAAACCAATGACTACTGGATATGTGCTCACTTCTCCATCAAAATGGTCAAGCCTGGAAATTGGTACACAATTGTGCCTCTTCTCTTCTGTTGGGTGGGAAAGTCCACAAAGAACAGGAATATGTTTCCTTTATTGGTCGGAACAAAACAGCCCCAATCAATATGTCTGATATTATATTTTAAGTTAGCTGCCTTTTGATGCAATACAGTTAGCTGGGTGATCCATTTTTCATTGGAGCAAAATTTGAAATGTTTTTGAGTGTTCCAGACATAGGAAACAAACAGAAAACATGGAATAAGCTGTTTCTTCCTTTTTTTCCTACCTGAGGACCACAAAAATAAGTGAAACAGCAGTCCATGATGGCTGCTACCAACCAGCCAATTTTCAGAAAGTTTGGCAAAAGTGGCAATGTTAAAGCAATTAAATAGTCTTTATAGGAAAGAGTTGCTTGTGGAAAAAATAATCAATTGCTTAATGGTTAATTTAGAATCTGTTATTAGAAAAGCATTCCAGTTCTTTGTAGAGAAAACAAAGGTATTTTTATTTTTAAAAAATAAACCACCAGGGGTACTCAACTAGCATATTACAGGACCAAGAGAGAGGTAATTTCTTTCGTCATTATTTATCTACCACTTAGCAGTTGGTTAGCAGAAACCAGCTACAATAACACAATTTAATTTACTGTGTGTGTGTATTAACACGGCTTTTGAATTCGTTATCTTGTTTTTACATGACTTTTTAAAAATTTTAACTGCTACTACCTGCTGTTTATAATAACTCACACATGAATAAGTAGAAAAACAAAAAAATGATTATAGTAATACAGTACTATCCCAGTATACCATCTAAAAGTTCTGATTAGATGAGGAGTCTTGCACATGTGTAAACATATATATGGTGGAATCAGCAGAAATTACACAGAAGAGGAGCAAAAAACAACAAAATCACAGTAAGCAATTACTGGCATTTTAAAATCCATTCTGGAAACTCAGTGGAGTAGAAGAGTAGTATCTTTCACCATATGGAAGGGCTGAGCAACAGTTAATGCCAAGACTGATTTCTATGGTTCATCTTGCCACTCGGCCCCTACAGTTGTTTCAACTATTAGACATAAACTCTTTTTCTGCTTCAAAAAGGGTATCTTGCCATTGGTTGGTGGTACAGATTGTCTACAGTTGACAGCAACGGACAAGACATTTGCATGATGCCTAAACAGGTGCTCAAGTATCCCCAAGGCCAAGAGATAGTATCCTTCTTCGTGATGGCCTGTGGCTTGCGGTGGCTGCTTAGGTTTGAATTGTTCCTATTCTGCACTGGCCACAGGTGCACAACATAGTACTGGTTGTGAGTTGTCTGCTGGTTTCTCTGGGCTGCCACTAACACCATTTCTGAGCTTGGATTCAGAAGTGGGCTCTTTCTGGTGGTTCTCACCTTCAGCCCTTGTGTTGCTAATAGAGGGGAGTGGGTCTCCTGTGAAGAAATCAGGGACACATCTCCTTCTGTTTCTGCCTGTGGAAAAGCCACATATCATTATACCCTGTTTTAGCCTCCTGTACCATGATACCAGCTTCTGGTATCATGTTGCTTCTGGTGGAGCAGACATATTACTGGGATCAAGATTCTCTGCAGCTTTGACTCCATTCTTTGACCCTGGTGCTCATCTTCCTCCGTATCCTTCTAATTTCTCTTCGCTTTCTTCTCGGCATGACTTTTCTGGGTCTTTTTGGAAGGAAACAGGAGTTTAGCTAGAGCTGAACTGAAGGGAGAGAAGTAAGGAACCCATAAAGGCAAGCCTCAGCTTATAAGAGAAACAAAAATGTCTAAAGGACTGTATTAATTGTGTGTGGCTTAGCAAGTGCGCGGTAGGTTTATCAACTTAAAAGACACCCAACATCTAACAGGAAGAGTTAATTCCACCAAATTAGCATGCATGCCTTATTTGGGGAATGGGGGTTGAGGGAGCGAAAGGTCCTTTCAAATGTTACTCCATCTAGCCTCAGCCAGAAGCATCAGAACATGATCAGTATATGCTGCTGTACTAGCAGTTTAAAATTTTAAAAAAGAAACGAAAAGCTCAGCACAAAAACCAGTTACAATGCATAGAAATATTGGGACACCTACTGTAAAATGTTTCGACCTTGAAACGAAGCTTTGTAAGCAGGTATTTAGCTTTGAGCTCAGAATATTGAATACAAAAAGGCTGTTTCGTGATCAAAACATTGAAATGCTTTTCATATACTTGCATAGAATAGGCTCATATTTTTGTCATTATATTTTATTAATATACTTGGACATAGACTAACTACAAACTGTAAGTTCAAACTCTGCCAGCTTGTTGAGAAAATCGATTTAGTTGCCCAATACTTTATTAAAAAAAAACGTGTTCATCTTTTGGTTGCTACTTAATTCTCCCTGCTGCCCCCACCCTAAAGCTCTAATAAATCTTATTAAACAAGGTAGATAATGCGGTCTTTGCTTTAATGACTGAATTCCAAAAAAAAAAACGTGCTGCTGCTCATCAGAGTTTGCACTTAATTACTGTTCCTTAAAGCTACACTCTAATATGCCATGAAGCCGGTTACCATATTGGTGTGAAGATTAATTGGAGCAATTTCTTGCTGAAAGGGAAGTGCTACTTTTAAATGTAAGAACAGTTCATTTCCTGGAGATCTTGGCTATGGGCTGCTTTTTGTCCAGTGCCACTTTGGTCAGCTGTGCTTCTAAGAAGAAAGTAAGTGTCAGTGCAAATAAAGACAATATACTCTGTAAAGAGTATATTGCTAAGTTGGGTTGAGGTGCTTGCATCTACTCCATGCTAGATTCCAGTATTCAACATATTCCTGAAGGTGACTTTCCAGGTTACAAAAATGTTCACAATTGGATTCTAACACATTCCCAGGATGGAAATTCTTGCAAATGTATCTTTGGTGAGAGTACTTATCTTTCTCTACAGCTTATTTATCATATCTGCACCATGCCATTTCCTCTGGAAGTTCAAGGTAAATTTACTGAGATAAAATGTCATCTTCCCTTCAAGATTCGACCAATGGAACCAATGAAGATTGTGCTGATTGCGTTCGTTCTTTGGTAGAGGTGGAAAGGTACTTTTCCCTTCCACATAAGTAGGGCCTGATAATGCTAGTAACTGATGTCAGAGCTTTCAAAATAGCCCTTCTATTTAGAATGTATCAGTGTTCAAACACCAGTAAACATTGGGGTGGATGAGCAAACACTGGTGGAAAACTAATATGTAAAAAGTATATCAAATATATTCTGGAGCTTGACGTGGAAGGAGGACTAGTCTAATGATATCTGGGCATATTATTATTGAGACATGGGAAATTGAATAATCAAGGGAATGTAGTGGGATATCATTGAGGAAAATGACTGTCTGGAATACTTAAAAGGATGCCTGAACTTTACATGAAAATAATTTGTTGTGCCTTCATCATTTTTTTTTTCCCTGCAGTTTTCCCAAAGTATCTCAAAGCGGTGTAATGCACAATAATAAATAAAAATTACACACCCACCCAATAAAAAGGAAAATAGAAACAAACAAGCAAACACACACCATTCATCCAACCTGCATGACTAGATCTTTAACGAGCACCTACAAGAATTAATGGCAGGTGGTCATACACATTTAGGTGAGAGAGTATTCTAGAGTTTAGGCACCCCCCCCCCCCACAAAGAAGGTCTGTCTGTAAGGGACCACTCTTCCTTAGAGCTAGATTCTGATAGGCACAGAAGAACCTTCCCTGATAGCTTGGTAATTAATGAGGTCTGTAACTGCAAAGACAGTTCATCATGTATCTTCTCAAGTTGTTTGTGGCCTTGTACATCATAAGAAAGTCCTTGAAACTAGCAATGCAGTAGCTTCTACACAGAGGTACAATCTGCAACAGCAACTTGAGCATCATGTTTTACAGCAGTTGCAGCTTCTGAATCAAATACAAGGCCAATGAAGTAATTGAAGTGTATAGTAACAAGTACATTGTTAGAAGTAGCTAGGTAATCTGAGTCAAAGTCAGCCCTACCAAGTAGACCAGACCAAGAAACCAATACCATAGGTTTTGATTACCAGCTACAGTACAGTAACAGAATCTTGCAAATCTGAATGTGCTTCCCTCCTCCCTTTATCTTTGTGTGAACTAGGGAGGGGGTTTCCTGAGACATTTTCCCATATTAGTTTCTTGGCCCAGGCTCAAGCCCCGCTTATCTGACTGTTGCCTTGATAGCTGCCCTTCTTCTTGTCCTCCAAGGCCATTCCCTCTTCCCTCTCCAATCAAGGAAATGATGTAGTTGATATATCAATTAAAGCTGGTAATAGATGTTTCTGGCCACTGTTTACTGCTGGCAACTGATATCAGAGTGGCTTCTAGTAAAGTACTCATTTTTGTAGGTGTACAGTTATCAGATTTGGGAAGCAACAAGCCAGATAACCACGAGAGTTTTCTGTACTTCTTCGCTGCCACCAACTGGTAGCCCTAAGTAGTTAGAATGCAGTTGATTTAAACAGAAACAGTTCTATCTGTAGAATAGTGGGCTGGAAAGAAAGAGTTTGTGGTTATTTTGAGTCCCATCAAAGAGAATTGTAAAAAATCGGAGAAAGCATATATAATTTTATTTTATTTATTCATTCAACATTGCAATAGCTGCTCCGCTGAAGAAGTTCTGTGGTGACTCAAGAGCAAGATGGGAAGACGACCAGCTTTCTGATAAGTAAGTACTTTGTGGTTAGCTATATCCACCACAGCAGCCATTTTAGATGTTTTCAATCTTTAATTTCCAAGGTGGCCAACAACAGAAAAATTGCCTATCCTGGTATAAATTACAAGTATTAAAATCAAAAAAGACAGCAAAATGCACAAATTAAAAAAAGTAACTTAATGGGATTGAATTAAAACAGCTCTCCACCAGAAACCATCCATTCTTTTCTTATTTTGGAATTCCCTCAAAACCATTATTTTTCAACACGCCTTTGGTCTGTACTGAGAAATTGTGGGCAACCATCTGGTTTAAGTCCTGATGTTTTAATTTGGAGGGTGGAGTTGGGATTCTGTTTTGTTCCTGGACCACCTGAGTCTGAAACAATTGGAACTGGGTATATAAATACTGTAAAATAAAATATTTTTTATATATTTATCAAACCTTTCTAGTCTGTCTATATCTAGAATGCCTGTTCCAAATAGTCAAGTAAAATCCTTTCCTTAAACATGTGAACCCTGAATCCTAAGTGTGTTTACCGGAAGATAACCCTGTCTGAATTCAGTGGGACTTAATTCTCTAGAAAGTCTGTTTAGGTCTGCAGCCTGAAAACTTATAAATTTAGTAGCTTATGGCCACTATGCCAGGATACTTGCTATAACCATCAGCCCATTTTTATGGCCTCTGAAGGTAAAGATGTGGCCGTATACAGATTGAGCTGCTTTTACCCATCCCATGGAAACAGAAATAGAATGAACTATATTCAGCTGCAAATTAAATCCTGCTTTCCTAAAAATCAGGCTCCATTGAAATGATAGGAAAAATAGCTTTCTAATACATTTTTTGCCTCATACTTCAGAATATGTAAGAATGAAAGCTCTTTTCTTCATTTCTGTTTTGTGGGGGCGGTGGTTCCATAATTAAGGTTACATCCCCTTATTCTGCTTGGCTCTCTTAATCCAAGTAGAAACTACAGAACTTGATCCAAGAATAGAGTCAATTTCTGTACCCTTGGTTCTGCTGTAATACAGCATGCATGCATGTGCTGTCAAGTCATCATTGACTCCTGTGACTGCTTGGAATAGTCCCTGCAGTATTCTTGGCGAGATTTTTGGAAGTGGTTTCCCCTTGCCTTCTTCTTAGGGCTGAGAGAAAGTGACTGGCCCAAGGTCACCCAGTCGGCTTCGTGCCTAAGGAAGAATTAGAATTCACAGTTTCTAAGTCTGATGCCTTAACCACTACACCAAACTGGTTCTCTGTAATAAGCCATGTGCAAATTATAGCTGTCATGGCATAGATATGTTTTATTGTTTTATTTACTTGTGCTTTCATAGCTGCCCAGACAAATCCCTGAAGTTTTCTTGGCAACATTTTTGGAAATTGTTTGCCATTGCCACCTTATTACAACTGAGAGAGAGAGTGGCTGGCCCATGGTTACCCAGCTGGCTTCAGTCTTAAGACAGGACTAGAACTCAGAGGCTCCCGTTTTCTAACCTGTTGCCTTTAACCACTATACCAAACTGGATTTCTGCAGCAATTCTCTATAGATATATTTAGGTTCAGAAAAGCAAGCAGCAAAACATTCCTAGAGTTCCATTTTGTGTTGGCAGGTAGAAGTTAATTTAAGGTGCTCAGATTGCAAATGATGAGCGGTCCACTCAACCTCAGCAGAGAGAAAAGTTTGGAAACAGGGTCTCTTCTTCATTGTGTTGGGGCTCAGGAGCATCTTTTGGTCCATCACTGGCTTTAGTAGGCCCTGTCAGTGTCTTAGTGAGTGCTGTGTGTGATTTTTCTTAATAAAGTATTTCTGTCCTGGCCAGCATAACCTCACCTGAGTTCTGTAATCAGCATCCTTTCACTCAGCAGCCCTGTCCTGTGTCCCTAACATGCCATGATATAGGAGAGATGCCCCAAGTGATAGGTGTCATTAGAGTAGGAAGTGGCATCTCATCTCAAGCCATTTAACCAGCCTCTTGACTTGTGCCTGGACTCTGATGAGAAGCTAGGGCCATTTTAAGAACACCGTCATATAATTGGGGAGGCAGCAGGAAAGGGTCAGCTGGAATTATTCTGGGCGCATCATTTTGCATTGTCAAAGCTGTAGTCCATTCAGTGTTAGCCAATATGTTTGTGTTTAATTCTGGGAATGAAGGCATCAAAAAAGAGAAGGAGAAGGAGGAGGAGGAGGAGGAGGAGGGTAAGCTGTATTAGAACACTGAGCAAACAGGACTCCATGCTCTAAACACATGAGGTTATTTATTTATTTTTTTTAAGCTTCCCAAAAGTATCAGCTACCAATAACAACTATCCCTTAAATCCAGAATAGGAAATAAAATGCCCTCTAATTGTTTTGAAAGATGATTTCCACAATCCTTTGCCAATTTTGGAAACTAGAGCTGATGGAATGTGAAGTCCAAAGTGTCTGGAGGATGCTAGGTTGCCTACTCCTGCATTGTTATTCCTTGAATCTATGCCAGTATATTGTATTGTCTATTGCCTATTTTAAAACAGGCCTTGAAATGCATGAGGTTCCCCCATCTAGTCTGGGCCAGTGGCAATTAATACAGGACTTGAGCTATTAAGCTGCTGCAGCTAATGCTGCAACATGCAGGATGTGGACTTTCACATGCAGACTGCCCAAAGTTTCAATATACCTTCAATTTCTGACATATTAAAAGGATAATGTTCAGGTTGGACTGGGGTGATACTCCTTTCAGCTATGAAGCCCAGTTGAGTTTTTCTGACTTGACTCCATTCTTCCTAATCTGATATCTTCTGGATTTGTTGGAGTTCAGCTTCTAGAATTTCTAGCCCAGATGACCCGAGGCCAGAGAATTTCTGGAAGCTCCATTCCTAACATCTGAAGAGTGCCAAACTGGGAGAAGGGTCTCTAACGTATCTCACATCTCTCTGTGTAGTACTTTTGAAGCCCTTCGCTTACCTGCTCTCATGTAGAGCTAAGCTGTAGGGCGCACAGACACTCTTATCATTAAGTCCTAAGACAGCTGGCTCTTTGAAAAGCTTCAGAGGTTTAAAATGAAGGTTTGCATAAGGTCGACTTCAACCATGCTTGGCTGAAGTCAACCCCTTGAAGGGCTGATGACCCTTGTCCATGATTGGGGATCCAGCCTCATTGGAGTTTCAGGTACCAAACGGGGCTGCATCCACATTCAACTAAACGTGCTTACTGCCCTCATGTTGGCTTTCTTGATGAACTTTTTTAGATCTTTTGAAACAGACAGATATATGGGAACAGGGCACTCGGGTGTACTCATACAACCCCCTCCCCCATGCTCTAAATGCGAGCAGATGTTTATCTGGGGCTTAGGTTTGCAGTGAACCTTATCTTGAATTCTCTACTGCAGAGGCAGGATATGCATGTTAATAAAGAAATCTCTTTCCTTTACAAAAATAAGCAAAAGGGAACGCTCTCTTCCATATATTCCTGCACGTCATAGCGATAATACTCCAAGTGATATTGCAATTTTGCCCTTGTCAGAGTGGTTTGAAATATGCTAGCCCTGCAAGGCAAAAGCCTGCCCTCTGGGTAGTAGATATTGCCTTATTCTGCCCCTGCTGCAGCAAGAACTATTAGGATCAGGGCCTGGCTGTTGAGAATTTTAATTCATTACCTACTCTTGTTATTGAGTTTGCAGAAAGTTAAATTGGTTTTTAGAGGAAGAATTTTAGATATGGAATGTGTTAAACCGAAGCATCTTTTCAACAAATAAATGACTTGAATTTGAATGCAAATGAAGGAAGACTTGCAAATCACAAAATATGAATATCCTCTCTTTTCATTTGGCAGCAGTATGTATCTGAGCATTAATCCTCTCTGATCCTGAGAGGCAGAATTGCATGGATGTTTACACATGAGTGCTCATTGCTGGTGTAACCTACAAAGTTTTCGCAGTGCTTCTATCTCCGTTTTATAGTTGAATTGCTAAAGCATATAAAGATTTGTTGAATTCAGTCAAGTGATTTAAAGTCCAAATCCTCATTAAAAAAATCCAAAATCTTCCTCCGTCCTAATACTTTAATTTTAAACCATGTTTTCCCATCAGCAACCCAAATTTTAGCCGCATGACTGAGTGATTACTATTACTGTAGTCTCTTTTGAACAGAAGAAATTGCAACAGTATAAAAGATACTGCGTGGGTTGCCTGAGCAAAAGTTTTGGTTTTATTCTTCTTGATAATGTAAGCAGGGATAGGAATGAATGACATCTCCCATCGTTCCTGGGCACTGAGTCAAGCTGATTGAGATTACAGGAGCTGGAATTTGTAGGATTTGGAAAGCTACAAACTTCGTTTTCTGACTGAATGTCATATTTAAGGAACAGCCAGTGGCTTTTACAAGCAGCCACATTGTCTTCTGTTCCTGAAAGACTAAGAATTCAGTCAAGGATCATGGAATGGAAAGGGATGATACTGTTTCTACTTTCACAAGTTCTCCCTGCAATCTCCTGCAGTACCTTTTACACGACTCAGCAGCTCATATGGAGGGAATGGAAAGGAGAGTGAACAATCAGCCTTTTTCTCATTCCACCAGTGTTAGATACATATTTTATTTCAGTCCAAGACTGGAGTTAGACAGTGAAAACATAAACACAACACCCAGCAACCAGCAAAAGCATAAAAGAAATTGGTAACATTTTAAATCTGAAATGCGGCAGCAGAACTGGACTCATGGTTCAGCCTTTATGTCACCATTTGTTTCCTAATAAATATGGTCCAAGAAACAGATTCCATTACCTTGTAAGTAATGTATATATGTGAATCAAAGAGAAAGAGAGTGGCGTAAAATATACCCGATCTTAAAAGAGGTGTTATCGGTAGATGTTGGAAATCCTTATAAAAGGAACAGTACAATGAAACATGTGCCGCTGACTCAGCAGTTCCCAGAAGTCATGGGGACCCTGGTAAATCTGCTCTACCTAATTGCGGAAGGTAGAGCATTTAGCAAGAATACATGGTGGTACCCTGAAGAGAGGTCACTGGAAACAAAAGAAGTCA